AATGACGCTGATGCACAAGTCGAGACGAAGGAGGGGCGAGGCGGCTGGGGTGAGGGCGTGCGAAATGCTGGGAGTCTATTCTGATGCTGATAACTATGACTGTCACATTAGAAGGTGAGGGGATATGCGGGATGCTCATTGTTGCGGGAATCTTCGCTGTGCGCAGATATAAGATGATACGAGAGCAGTTCGGCCCGCAGCGGTCGGTCCATGACCAAGCCAAGGATATGCGGGTTAATGCCAGTGTAGGGTGGCTGATGAGATCACAGTAGAAGGCGCCTTATTGATGTTGTCAGACTCTTGCGGTTGAGTGGAATAATACGGAGACGACTTTGGATAAGCTAATGCGGTATACATGTAAGGGACAGTAGAGGACTGTTGTGAGGGTATTATAGCAGTCGTTCAGATGGGAGAGGCGGGTCTAAGGCTAACCCATCTACTACTGATGGATTGACGCATAAGATTGGCCTTACCTCGGCGGCCTTGTATGAGCTGCATGCTGCAACGGTATGTCGAACTATGGGAGGCGGCTGGAAGGGATCATCATGATGATGATTGTCGTCGTCGTGCTTAGGTGACTGCAGCCGATGAGATCTGGGCCGAGTTCGACAAGATCCATTTCGGATATGCAGCGGATATAGATGACTTGAAGAGTGGTGCGGTGAATGCCTTCAACTCGGTGAGTAGTTGGGCGTGAGTTGAGAGAGGAGTGGTATTTGATTGTTGTCTTATTGTTCTTGTTGTTCAGTTGATGACGGGAGTACAGAACATGGTGGCCACCCAGGCTAATGATCAAATGGCGAATCAACTACGGCTTAATGGAGATGCCAATGAGAAGCTTGGGAAGTTGGCTAAGGGCATAAACAACATACAAGTATTTATCCTCTCTTGTACTGACGATAGTCACATCACGACCTCCCATAGAGTTGCTGCTTTGATTTCATCTGAGGAGAGTTTGTTGGTGCTCAGGTGAAGGTGGAGCGAGCTGCTAGAAGTGTGGTACATCAAAAGGAAACTTTGGAGGAGACCGCTGAGAAAACTT